ACATCAAAATTTTTTGGTGTATTCTTGCATGGGTTTGCCTTAACTTTGTTTCGGATTATGTCACTTCATCCATTAATTTTCTACATTACTCCATCGGGTAGAGCTCCCACTGCATTAGCTACTTGAATAACCCCCAAGTCACCTCTTAATAATCATTCTTCTCTAAATAAGCATTCCACAATACTAATGAACAATATTATCATGAATGTTATACCAATGCAAGGCGAAATACATCACTAATTGACCAATTCATTCTTCTATCTTGAAAGGTTGCATCCTTCTTTCGTGTGATAGTTATATCCTCATCTTCATCATATCCAACCATAATGGCATTTGCCATGGAAAGAGGAAAAGGAATATGATTTGACCACTAGTCATAGTGGCGGTTGTTTGTTTCATCATCCACTCCATGGTGGTCATTTGCTTCATCAATACAACCACTTGATCGTCTAGATTCATTTTAAAATCAGCATTAACCATTAAACAGCTTTCTTTCAGTTCTATTTCTTGTTATCTCTTTCTTAACTTTTGATGCATCTCCACAACAAGAAGAGTCTCTCCCTTATCTTTGTATCCTCTCATTGTTTGTACCAAGATTGATACTCTGATGCTAACCGCTTATCAATATGATGGAAGTTCGGAATAAGAGGATTAAACAGATGGGAAAAGATCTCAAGACATTCTAAGAAATTTTAGTTGATCTATCAATTAGTTGGAAGTAGCCTGCAAATTATTTCATGTTGTAAGCAGCTTTACCCTTTCAGATCTTTTTCTTTCTTACTAAAAAAGCAAGCAAGCTCTCTACATTGAACTCCACCTTGTTGGATTACAGTAACACCCCTTCATCTTAACTCAAATATATTTAAATAAAAATTAATTTCAAGCCAATTCAGCATGCCTCAAATTAATTTTAACCTCATATTTGAGTTATTGGCTGTAAAAATACTCAAAAGTCGCTCTAATTTTCAGTCAAATCAAAATCCATAGAACATATCTCAGCTGATTTTCAAATTGAAGTCCTTAGCTTCAAATATATTTTTAAGTTGATTTCAAGTTTATAGTGGCTTGATTAAGATAAAACTTGATTTGTTTTGAACTTATTTCACATTGTATATATTAATTTAAAAAAATTATAAAATAATTATCACTTCATTTAGTTGGCGTTTTGTAACTCATGCATAAAGACTTAGATTAAATCCCTCTCTTCAATCTTATTTTTTTCACAATTTCAATTTAACACAAAATTGATTTTGAACTAGCCCTAAATTGAGTCATTTTGATTCAAACAAGCTCAACTTGAAATTAACTAAATTTTGAGATGAGTTTGAGTCAATTTGAACTCAATGATTTCAAGTTCAAGTCAAACAAAGGTCGGCCGATCTTTAATCATTATCAGTCTTAGTTCTAGACAGGCTAACTTTCAATTTCAAGACAATATTCTATTAAATATGATCCAGTATCAATCCATTGCAAAACATTTGACCTTGTCTTGAAATCTTAGATACAACGGAACCAAATATATGGCAAATTTAGATCACCAAACTCAAACTTGCCTCAAAACCGAAGTCCATGAAAAAATCATATATCTTAAGATTATCACCTAAGAACTCAACAACCAAGCCAGGACAACTAAAGCAACTTTTTCGATTCAAAATGTTATCACCAAGGGAGCTTAATATAAATCTCATCCACAAAACTCACTGTCAAACTTGCCAAAGAGTTCGCCAAAGTAAGCTGTCACTCAAATGAACTCATCCTCAATTGTAACTCATCAAGATTTAAGAGTTATACCAGTACTTAAACAACTATTAAATAGAAAGGCTTAAGACATTCTTATAACAAGAAATGTTATGCATTGTAATTAAACTTTACTTGTTCTTTTATTTGTAGAATTTCTTATAATGCTAAATTTCAACCTAAACTTATAAAGAAGGGATTAGAAAATGAGATCGATACTTACTAAATAATTCAAGTTACATTAGTTTGTACGCTCCAATATGATTCTGGTGAAATCAAGTAGATTTTCTCTCTAGTTTTCTCATTCTATCGAATTACTTTGTTGAGTTTACTCTATACTTGTTAGTAAGGTGCTGGTATCACATGAATAAATTTGGATCTAACACTAGATTTTGTATTGTGAGTATTGTTTTGGTGGTTGGCTAATAATAAGAAACCCATATGATCAAAACATTTAGTTAGAATACTAACAGTCTCACCATATCAAAGAAATGTAGCCAAAATGACTGAAGTGTAGCTGAAGAGTAAGTTTTAGTAAAATTTCCTTAAAAAGTGCTACTAAGGAGCTGCCTTGTAAGTGATTTACACTAGGATTTAATGACGATTTAAGCTAATTCTCACCAGATGGTCAATTCAGATAAGTTAAATCTTGAGATTTGTTAAATTTGGATTTCACTGAATTTGTTCGTAAATCCAAAATTTACTAAATCATCCCATTTGGCAGATTTAAATTGTCTTCGTAGAGTACGCCAAGGGACAGCACATTCTAGTTGTTCAGCTTGCAGAAGTTAGCACTGTGCTATATCATCCACCAATAGCTCTGCCACAAAAACTGAAGCTTAGTAGCTCCAACGGCTCCGCTCTATCACCAAACCCCCACTCCTGCGCCTGTTCTTTGAGCCATATCTCTTGTGCCAGCAAAGCTTCAGATCCCGCAACATTGTAGTTTTTGTTGCTACCTCGCCTTTATTGGAGTGGCGGTCTCAAAAAAGGCATGTAAAAAAACCTATATTCACTTCCTTTTTTTTTGTGAGAACATATTCAAATATAAGAATGCGCTTGTGTAATGGGATATCCTTCTTATATATTTTGCATTCTTATGCAAATAACTATTGCTTTTATTGACAAATTTGCATCCAAGCCTTGTTGCGCGAGCAGGTATCAAAGCTTAGATCATCATAATGTATTTCTGACTTTAGTGTTATAATGGGTTTTCAGTCATTAAAGTAGGATATTTTATGTTGGTATGGTCATTTAAAAATTTTATTTTGGCTTTTCTGTATGGATGATTCATAATTTTTTTTTTCAAGAATGCTTGAAATTAAATAATTAGAAACATGAGAATGAACATGTTACCCGTCTCATTTAAGAGTAAATACAAGCTTGAAATTATGAATAAATAGAGCATGTTTTTTTTTGTTTTATTGGACTAAAATGATTGATGTCTTTTGTTGCAATTTCAATCCTCCTTAAGATTATTTTCAATAGTAGGTAGTAGGTAGAAATTAAAAAGAGGCAAGCAGTAGTGTTATATTTGCATACATATTACTTACAGAAATATAATTACAACGAATATTCTTCCAAATTCTAAAGTAATATTTGAGATCTGGTTCAAAATTATATCAGCACCATTTTTTGAGGTTCAATGAGTTTGACATAGAGGGAATACTCTATTTCAAGAATTGTAAAATCTTAAAATTTTGTATGAGTTACCCATAAAAATTATACCAAGGGTCATGTCAAGTTCTGTACAAAGAGAAACCTACAAAGATAATAATTAACAAATAGCAAATATTGAAATTTGTTGGGTGACAAACTATAAGCAAATATGATGTCAATCTATACTCTCTCCTTTCATATTGATTGAGATACTCAACTTAATCCTTTTCATTTATAAATGGAGAGAAAAAATAAGGAATTGAGTTAATAAGTAACCTACAGCTACCATTAGATATATTTTATTTAATTAGTTGCAAGCAACCAACAAATATAAATGACTAATTATGTTCGTCTTCGAGAATTTCTAAAAGAGGAAGTGGGCATGCTGGTAAAAACTATCAATTCCTGGTGTCACAGAATTATCTTACTTCTCATCTTAGAGTATATAACTCTGTGTTGTTACATATAGATATATTACGAACTACAATGCCAAACTAAATTAGCCATGATATTAGATCAGTTTGAATGAGCTATCCAGAGTATCCATCAAGCTCTGAAATGTTAATTGCACTTGAAAAATTCATTCAACTGGCAGGCCAAAGCACATGCAAATGCAAAGTGAAAAAATAAATTATGTGAATCACACAAATGAGCTAAAGGATGGTAAAATTAGTGTCTTACATGGATATGATATCAAATCAGAAGTCAACAAATGTGCAATATGTTTTGACTAGATCAAGAAGAAATGCTATTAAGAGAAAGTCTAACATTTATGATAGAAACTTGAAATAATTATTATATTTCTTCATGTTTGACATTTTATATTCATTGGACCTTAAAAGCTTAGTCCATTTAATTGAATTTTCAGTTGCTTAGAATAATAAGATTTTATTATTTTGCTATCATTTGTTGTATTTAATATTGTGAATATATTGCTTCCACAATAGATTTGAAGAGATTTTTGCAAAGAGAATTAAAACTTCATTGAAACGGCAGTCTGAAACGTGCTGCCAAAGCGTCATTGAAACGGCAGTTTGAAACGTGCTGCCAAAGCGAATCCAAGAACAATTGCAGGACACCAATGTAGCCAGAGCAACATAATCTCTTTGAGGATTTAGTAAATCCCATATTTACGGACAAAATTGGTGAAATCAGGATTTACTAAATCCCAGGATTTAACTTGTCCTAAACTGACTGTCTGGAAGGATCTAGATTAAATCCTCGTTAAATCCTAGCGTAAATCCCTTGCCATAGAGCCCCTAAAACTTATTGCATAGGCATTAGTTATAAACAATTATAGTATGAGTTAGAGAAAATTCATGCAGCGGTATGATCAGCGACAAACAAATACAACCACTTCAAATCCAAAATTTGGTTCATCTCAGTTAAAACAAGCAGAAGAAAAAAAAAAAAAAAACTCAGATCAGCAGGCATGTCTATAGAATAAGTTTGTAAAAGAGAAATCACATAAAACAGAATAATAAATAGCGAAAAATCATCAATCAATGTGCTCCATAATAGAGCCATAGCAAAACAAGAATATCACCCGCTATCCTCCAGAATCACTGAAAGAATGGAACCCAAAACGGATGGTGAGAGCGTACCGAAGAAAGAAGGCGAAATTGGGAGAGAGAAAGGGCTTCTTCTCCACATTGGTTTGTTGGCTGGAGTGAGAAGGGAGAAGGAAGCAATTGGAGCCAGTGAAAGCGCCATTGCTTCGACTGCTGATTTTGCTTCTTGTTTTAGAAATCAATGTAGGGAGCCGGCGCGCATGAACATTATCTGATATCGGCTTGAAGTTTATGGGTGGGCACTTGAACCGGGTTCAAACCGGTGGGCACTTGAACCGCGTTCAAACCGGGGACACTTGAACCGGAACTGTTTAACAAGAGAGAGAGAGGAAGGTATTTTATTCTTTTGAATGAATTTGTTGTGAATTGATTTAAACTTAGACTAGCATTTTGTCATAGTTATTATAATTTTTAATCAGCAAGGCTTGTTTTTGAATTTGTGATGATTTTTCAAATAATTCTATTTAATGTAATATTAACTTTGTTTTATTTAATATATTTCTTGGAAAAATATAATTATTTTTTATTAAGTATTATGATAATATAAATAAGTATGATATTAATTTTTAGGGAACTATAATTAGATATTATATTAACAATTATTTTTTTATTTTTTAAATACTTATCATCATAATGATTAGCTTTTATTATATTCTAAAACTTATGAGATATAAATTATATGAGAATCTTCTTTGAACATGATTTAAATAATGATCAGACAAATAAGATTCAAATCTCATAGTACAAGTTCAAAATCCATTCAAATTTTGTTTGATTCTTGTTCTATGATTTAAATAATGATCAGACATTTTCAAACAAGGTTCAAATCTCATAGTACAAATTCAAAATCCATTCAAATTTTGTTTGATTCTTGTTCAAACAATTCAATTATGTTATTAAAAAATACACCATATTATAGATTAAATACTCACAACATCACAAAAATAATTGATGATATATGTTACAGCATAACATAGACTTAATACATATACATGAAAATTTGGTGCATATTTATACACATGAGATTTAATATACAAATGTGCACCATAAATATCATAAAATACTATAAATTTTGATTGTCACACAAGTTTGTGCACATTTTTTTATTTTAATAATGATGCATGTGTTATGTTTAAGGGATGATATAGTTACCAAAGTTAGTAAACATTATAATCAAGAGTTGTTAGACATATATTGAGTACTTTTCTTATGGGCATGATATCTTCTCGCCCATAATAACCAATTAGTTGGTACGTACATTACTATTAAATACTCCAAGTATTAGTTCATAATACCATTGTTATATAAGCTTTCTTGTGATGATTAGTGCTACCTTGATCCAATAAACCTAAGGAGAGGATTTGGGCTACCTAAAGAAAGTGTGGGCATATCCAAATTTGCTTGGGCATGATTTAATTGAAAAGTTTTACAAATTCTGTCAATTACATCTAATTAATCTCCATTTAAGTTTGACAAAAAAATTGGCCAGAATAAAGTAACCCGCAAGCCTTTCATGGATATCTAAAGTTTCCTAAAATACAATGGTATCCACTCTGAGGCTTAGACTAGCCTAGGTTAAGCTAATTAGATTAATTGCTTGTTATATGCTTTATTAAGTTTTGTTTGTCCCCAACATGCTCTAACAATTAAATTGACTAAGATCAACAGACTCAAATATTCTTATGGAAGTTTTGGATAAATTAGTTAACTTAGGAGTTGGGTATGGAATACTTTGATCTAAGTTAATTCAATCGGATCAATAGACAGTTAATGAGTAAATTGGGTTAACCATGGATTCACCATAACTTTAAGCTTAATATCGACCACTTAGCATCTTATCCATTACTTCTACGGGTTTCACTGTGCTACTAGGCTTAAATGGATAATAGGGTGAGATCTAATTAGCATAAGTCAAGTTATTTAGTCCTAATAACATATAAAAGGTTTAACAAAGCTACATTGAGTTCAATCTAGCTAAACTCAAGCCATGAGAAATCTAATTAGGCCAAACCAAAATGGTAATTATGTATTTTAATATGTTATTTTCAAATCATAATAGTTTTGGGTCCATCTAAGGTCTATTAGGTCAAAATAATTACATAATATACCATATTAGTCCACATTAGTTAGATTTGCGTCAAATATAGGCAGTGTAGGGTTAATCTGGTCTATGATGATGTAAGTAAGGTCATTAGCAAAATATGAGTTTAATGGTAGATCCTACTTCTACTTAGTTCAATTTTTGAATCATTTATGCCAAATTGGTCAAATGAATCGTGTTTTCTCTATGATGGGTCATAGTCCAGCTCATTCTAAGCTAAAGCTTTAGCCAACCAATATAAGATCTCATTAAGGTCACAGAAGGTCTGAAAAAATCAATACAAAGTTAACTCTATGGGTATATCAAATTAAGTATTAAAATAGATTTGGCTTGATTAGGTTAGTTCTATGTTAAGTTGATTTCACTCAACTATATAAATCAAAGGTCAAAAGTTTAATTACTCTTACCAAAGAATAACGGAGGGTCCAAAAAATAACAAGCTTAATTATTAGTAAATAACTTACCTCAGGTTTGTTGGTTATAGTTATAGGTAAGGGGAAGACTAAGTGGGTTGAACTATTTATTCAATGGGTCAAAGCAAGATGACATGGTCTCCAAGGTCAAGGTTAGTCTAACACCATCTCATGTTATACTTATATAATGATGAAGTTTGAGTTGATTTATTGTCTTATAAAACTATTAAGTCCAAGTTACAAAAAATACTTAAGGAAATTATTTATTAACTTTTTTGATGGGTTGAGATATCCATGGAAGTATATTATGAATTTATAATAACAAGGGTATTGGAGGTCTTAAATGAAGTCTGAGTAATCCTTATCGTCGGGTTAATCTATTTATCACAAAGTATTGAATAGATAGCATAGCACCATCTTAGAGTTATGGGGTAGCAAGTAGAGGGCCTATGGTATAGATCAAACATGAACTGTAATGATAGGCATAAAACTAACCTAATCTAAAAAGGGTGTTGATATACTTATTTTTCAAAAATCTTCAAGTAATTCTAGCTTTATGGATTATAATAGGTAAATCTTACAAAATAGTTTTGTTATGATTATGATTACATACTTTTATGTAAATGGATGATAAAATTTACTTTTATATATTTTTCCCTTTTAACATTCATTTTAAAATTTGTTCATAATTCCACATAAGGATTTTTTCATCATAAATTATGAATAACTGCACTTGGGTCATAAATGCTTATTTTTCCTCGAGAAAGTAGCTCAAGATTAAGAAATAAAATTGGAGCACGTTAACAATCATTGGTGTTATTTTGGTCATGCCTATATTCCAAAGTTGAGGAAGCTAAAAAGATTATCGTACAAGGACACATATTTGATGATAATGAGTTTACAATCCTACTTATATGGACCAATCAAGAGCTTATGCAATTGATTATAAGGAGGCTAAGATGCCCATTACTTAAGCCTTCAATTTTAGCCTTGCTCGTGAGAATAATGATTTATGTCTGCCTTATCGGTGATAGTTTTGTTCTTGTATGATCATGAATATAAGTTTTGAAACAATAAAGAACAACTAATTAGTGTGAATAGAATGATGAAAAATAACTAAGAAATTATTATCACTAATCCAAGATGTTCCTTGGGATATGCAACTTTAAGATTTATTCTAATTTAGTACATTAAATAATTTAAATGGGATAAATTAGTACTTGATCTAGGAATTCATAACTTTAAATCTATAAACTCAAGTAACTAAGTAACATGTATCACAAATTAAGATGAGTTCTCATGTTGAGAAGACTTTTCCTGACCACAAAGACTTTGGGGGTTTGGATAATTTTTTAGAAGTAACTAAGAACCTTTATTGAAGATAAATAAACATATAAGATTAATTTCAATACATCTCGAAATGACAAAAATATGTAAAACTAATTATATGGATTCAAAATTTATTTTAATTATAGTTTTAAAGTACAAATCAATTATGATGGCTTGGCCTCAAGATGGTTAAGAATAAAGATTAGCCCCTTTGATAGTTTTTTTTTTTCCTTATATGAAATATCTTGATTTCAGGGTATTTAAGGATAAAAAGTTCAAATTTTATGTATAGGAATAGTATCCCCATTTAATAATTTGAATTTTATTAGCTTATTTCTCAAGCTTCTTCATTATTATGCGGTGCCCTTTCTAATTAGCCAAGAATTTTTATGCAATATACCTAAAAAACCCATCATACGACTTTCAATTCATTTTCTTTTTCGCACACCATGCCCCTATCTCCTCTCTTACCTCCAGCAACAACGAAAACCTAGCAGCTCCTCTCCTCCCATTTGCTATCGTCGGTTGACGTACCTCCACTCGTCGGTTGTTGTACCTTGCCCTCGCCACTGAAAACCCTTTGTGACCCTAGCCTTTCACCCCTTGTGAGAGGATCATAAAAGGTAACTTCGCCCCATTTTTTACTTTTTAAAATTTTGGTATATATATAACATTTGAAGTTTAGGTGTTAGGAATGTATATGAATAAGATTTCAGTGGTATGAATGTAACATTTTAAGTTTAGGTGTTAGGAAATTATAAGCATTAGATTAGGTGTTAGCTATGTGTATATCTATACTTAAGTATTGAGTGGTATCTATTACAATCCTGCTATTTGTATACATAAGCAGTGTTAGCTTTGTATAAAAGCAGGTTTGGGTGATATTAGAACTGGTTTTGGGGTAGGCATAAACTATGGTTGGATGGTTGAGCATTTTTTTTCTTGAGTCATTCAATTTTAAACTTAATTAGTTTTATTAATAATTTACTTTTGGAATACATTTATGTATATTTTAGCTTTAGCTTGGGATTAGGTGTAGATTTTAGATTTAATTTTATGTTGAATGTATATTTTAGCTTTAGCTAGAAATTTTAATAGTGATTTAAGATTCATTATGTATATTTTAGCTTTAGCTTGGGATTAGTTGTAGATTTTAGATTTAATTTTATGTTGACTGTATATTTTAGGTTTAGCTAGAAATTTTAATAGTGATTTAAGATTCATTGATGGTTGTTATTTGTGGGTCGTTAAATCAGAAATTTGTTGGTTGCTTTTAAAATATATTAAATTTAATATATATGTAATCTTTTATTTTAAAAAGTAGTATTTTAACTTTAAAAAATATGAGT